CGTTCTTATAATAAATTGAAATGAACATCATTATCAATTAAGTTTAAAATCATTTCCTCATTAAATACCGGAAAATTTCTTGAGTCATTTTTAGTAAAACTGCGAGTAAAATTGGTTTCTTACTTATAAGCTATCTTGTAATGTATATAGATAATGATATAATAAAAATATATTATATAATGATATAATAATATTAGGTTAAATAGTTTAACGGTATGATCTTTATTTTCGTAATAAGTGCCAATAGTGCGGGAGCCAGGTGGGTTCCCGTGGCCTTTTCGATTAAAATGGTCCCACCCAAGTTTTTTTTATATATTTTGACCTGCTGAACACAATTTTCGATGGTGGCTTGCTGTAAAATTTGCACATCAATAGTTATTAACAAATTTTATAAACAAATTCAAGAATTATAAAATTTCGGTAAAAAAAATGTATTCGTATTCTTTTGCACATTTTTGGCAAAAAATATTGCTAGCAATTTTTCTCTAAACAATATACTTTTTTAGTAAAAAATTCGCAAACTTTTGAAACATTTGACTTTTCGATTTTCAACCGTTAATATCTCGATTGTTAAAAAACTTTTTGCAACTCTGCAAGGCGTTGAAATTTCTTTAAACATTGCACTTTAAGAATACGTAAACTTCAGACTGGTAAAAAAAAATTTGTCTCTCAATAATTAGCTTTGAATCGCGAGCTTCTTGCTATGCTACCTATGGTCTGCATACGTATAAAAATACGATGTATACCTTTGACTTGCATTAGTCCACCCAATTTTTTTTCTAGTATTTTCATTAGTTGTACGAAATTATTAAGGGTGTATTGCTGCATGACTATCAAATCAATAATTATAAACAAATTTTGCAACAAATTAGAAAAGAATATTTTTTTCGGTAAAATAAAATTTTTTTTCCTATTCTTTGGTTAGTTTAAAATAAAAATTATCTTTTAGAATTTTTCTCTACATGACGGTAGGTTTGAAAATAAATTCGCAAATTTGAAGAATCATAATTCATTTTTACCTACACAGGACTCATATTTTTGTGAAAAATCACAATAAGTTGTTGGCTGCCGCACTAATAGTATCAGAGAGACAGAAATCCACGTTAGATGTTGTGTGTCTCCTACTTCTGGACTTCTGCTTCAGCGCCGAACCTACATAAGAACGAGTAGTCTATGTTTCTTATATGTCTATGGTTTAGTGTCAAAGATAGTGTTTCGCTGTAACCTAGAAAGTTTGTTTTCTATTTGTGTCAATTGTTGAAATTAAAAAAAATAATTATTTGAAATGGGCAAGAAAAGATCAGCTCTGACATCTGATCAAAATTATATCAAAGTCGAAGTCAAAGATGAAATAGGTAAGGTATTTTTATAATTTTTGCACTGCAAAATAAGTGCTTTGTACTTGTTTTGATAACTGTCACTTATTTTTTAAAAACACTACCAAAATATTTTTTTGTTTTGTATTTGTTTTTTCTACAGCGGACAGTAATGTTCTGCTAGCTAGAAATAGGTTTCAGGGAGCTTTGAGAGAATTACTGCACCAGAGCGACGAAGATTCTTCTGACTCTGAGGATGATAGTCCATTGGTTGATTACAAAACAAATCAAAGAAAATCGTAACTTAACTTTTTTGTATTGATAGTTCAAATCATTTAATTTAACAACATACTAAACTTGTTTACCAAGTGATTCAATATACAGACAAAAGATGCATAATCAAGTACGTAAAATTAAGAGGCGCAGGCCTATGCACCTAGACTCAGGATTCCACCACACTTATGTCATGAAATTATTTGACAGAAGTGTGGATTTAGCACAGTTTGAAGAAGATACTCCTCTTTATCCAATATGTAGAGCATGGATTGCTAATCAACCTAGAAATCCCAATTTTGTACCCAAGTAAGTTTACTAATTCACGATCGCCGATCAATTTACCCGGTAAATTAAAATAAATTTTTCTCAGAGTAAGGAGTCCAAGCCCTGAACTTGAAGAGTCTGAACAAATCGATGTAAGTAACATGTTTGACGAAAATGGGGACATCAAGGATGTTCACTCTTTACCCTTACCTTTGCCTGCAGAAGAAGCTTTTCCAAGAAATAGGATTCCATCACCTGTCCCAATTACTAAAGAAGACCTTGATTTAGATTATGTAAGTGCTTAAATCTTATGGTTAAACAATTCTATACTGAATAATTTTAATAAAATACTATTTGCAAAATCAGGAAGGTAAAGATCTCAAATCAAAAGAAGAATTGCTAAAGGAACACAGAGCACACTGGACTGCCACTCGCAAAAAATGGCACCAACAAGTTCATAAAAATGAGTCACGTTTTGCTGACAGTGCAACAATTTTAAGCGCAATATTCAAGAGGTATCATAATAATGTGTTAAAATATAATTATTGAAATGTTCAAAATTTAACTTGATCACGTATTGCAGGGCTCAATCGGAGTTTGATTGATATATCATGGCCAATTACTACTTTTTTTACTGAAGTAATGTTTTTATGACTGAAAAAAAAATTGATACAGCATTAAATTATTATTCGTTCCTGAGGGTTGGTTTTCCTACATTCTATACTCGGTTAATTACATGTTTTTGTAGATGAAAAAGTACAGTTATATCATAATCAGGTAAATAATAAGCTAATTTTAAAATTTAAGAATTACAAGTGTTTTATTTTAAAAATTGACAATTCAGATAACTTATTATTATACTTTCAACGAATAGGATTCATTCATATGTACTACCCGAAGTTGGTAGTGTAACAAAAAAATTCTTGCATAGTAAAGATTTTCGCAAATTTTGCAAGAATTTATTACTTAAGTAATGGTAATATATATTTATATATGTATAAATCAGTTTTATTTCTTCATATAAAAGGTAGCTAAAAAATAAACAACATAATTTAAAACCACTCATTAGTGTTCTTTAACTTGTCAATTTTATCAATATCTAATCACACAATATACTTGCGAATGTTATAACAAATATACACTGCATATTATATGCCTGACTTAATCGATGCTTTCAATATTTTCTACAAGTTATGAAAAATTTTACTTTTTATCTCTTTGCCTGTGATGCACAGCTGGAAGATTTTATTTCTGAATTAAAAGCGCTGCGCGTTAATTTAATTTTACTTTATTTTACAAATACTACTAAATCATAAAATGAATTTTTTAAGAAAAACCNAAATTTTATGTAAGAAAAATTTTATAAATTCACTTTTCGGTAAGCGAAAGCTCCAAGACTTGTCTAAACGTTTCTTCCTCGAGAAGTCGACGCTGCTCCTCTTCCATTTGCTGCTGTTCTGAAAGTCTTAATGCCAATCTCAACTGTTCGGTGGCACTCTGTAGCGACTCATCGTCCGCTTCGCCACCAGCCTCCATGTCATTCATACCATCTCTACTACACCCACCAACAGTTTCTTGGTAAAGTTCCAGACTTTCTTGAATTGCTCTAAGGTAAGGAAAACATGCGTTTTACAAAAATTTCTGGTTTTATGACTGGAAATGGCAATATATTTTTCTAGACTCTAAAAAAATATGCAAACGGAATGAATCCCAACTAGGGAAAAGTAAAATATATAGGAAGTAATCATGCCACCTAATATTATTCAACGTAAGCCTTTTTTGCATTTATGAGCATTACAATTTCAAGCTATACCACTAATATTGTTATCTAACATCTATCATACCAGGAACAGTTTATATAAATGTGCGATCAAAAGAATTGTAAAAGATATAAGTTTGATCTCGAGAGCTGTTGAAAGTCGCTCAGTGCGACTCGACAAATACATTTATACCTGTATGCAATGTTCAAAGTCGCCATGAGATAAATCCAAGTAACTCACGATCAAATCTAATGTTATCAGTTGATAACAGATTTTATGTATAACCTACCTGTCTAAACATGTTCATTTGACGGAATAGTATACATGCAAAATGAACCATTGGAAAAAATTATAGCAAACATTGAATTAGTCATTCTCTAAGACAAAAACAATATTTCTTTACCTCTGCAGCTGCTTTTCTTCTTCTGCATTTATATTGTTCGGGGTAGTTGGACGAGATGGTTTTTGAGCTTTTAAAGCCTCCCATATATCGACCTGAAAATGACAAAAATTATATTTCAGTCCAAAGCACATTTGTTGCAACAGATTAATTTTTTATTAATGTACCTTATCTCGTTCACTACCGGCATCAAGGAGGCTTTGTTGAATCGCAAATTGTAACAAATCATCTTCTTCCTCAATACTGAATTGTGTTCGCATTTCAGCACCTGATTAAACAAATTTATTAAGCAAAAAAGTTTAAAAAATCGACTTTATGTAAAATATCAGTAAAATCTTGATAATCACCTAGTTTTGCATAACCTATAGGAGCCTCAAAGCATACATCATCTAAAAGACAAGTCAATCGGTTTCCTTCTTCTATACGACCGACGTGCGGCACTTCTTCGTCTAATCCAAAAATGTTGCCAAATGTTATTCGTGCGTTTAAAATGTGAAACAATGGAATTTCTAAGCAAACAATTAATACATTAATCGAAATAATTCATTGAAATTCACCACAAAAAAATTATTTATTTAAATCTTAACTATATTAAATGTATAATTTACCTATTTTAACAGGAAAACCTGATGGTAATTGCATTTGTATAAAATCTTTTAATTTAGCAAAATGTGAACTTGTAATAGCCATTAAATCCACAATGGGCATGATTTGTTCCTGAAGACTAAGAGGATATTCTTCACTCAGCCATAAGGTAGCCTGATAATAAAGCAATCGTTATTATACAAAATTGTTGAAAACTGAAAATTAATTGAGTGATCACATAAACAACGAACTTTGAATTTTTGTATTTTTTTACTCATTTCTTTAGATCTGCCAATGTCTCTACTACTCAAATCTACATCTGGATCGAAATACTCCTCTGGTGTTACATTGCAAGGATTGCCAATATTCGTATATTCCTCCTATGGTCCAACAAATTACAGGATTAACAACAAAATAAATTTTTAAAAAATACATTTTTTTTTTTAATGTAATAGCTACACTTGACACAGCAGCTGCTGCGCCTTCTTGAGTAGTCTGTTCAGCAATACCGAGCAAGGATTGCAATGGAGTACGAGGTGATTTTGCCCTAATTTTGTCCGCTTCGGATAAATGTTCTAATCGTGTTTGTGTTATCAATTCTACATTACTGGCACTGAACACTTTGCACTCATGTCCGTTCACTACCTCACTTTTATCGGATCTCCAGCCCCACAATCCTGCTTTATTCCTGAGTTAACAAATACATTTACAAATTTTTTACTGTTATACTGTCACAAAGTTATATACACTTATAAAATACATTTACCTCTCAAAACTTATTTTGTCTGTGTCTATGTAAGTTGTCACTATAGGACTTGTTAATCTTGCTATCACACCTTCCTCTGATGGCTCCATCAATTGTACATTATCATCACCTATGAGTTTCATATGTTCTACGTACACTTTTTTCGTTTCGTGATCCACTTCCATCATTGTAGCACCATCATCTGTAAAATTATCATTAAGCAGGATTTGCTTTCGATCATGTTTAGTATAAAGTAGAAATACCATTGGCGTAGGAAAAGCACTAATATTATACAGTTACAGGTGGAATTGCTTTATCTAAATAATTTGATTTCAAAATACTGTAATCTGGCAGTATCTACAATTTACTACAGTTGTTACTGTACCAAAACATTGTGTACAATATAACCATTAACGAAATCAATGTGTAAGGTGTCAAAATTCACCTGAATTTTTTGTTCGCATACTGAACACGTAACTGCGTACACATTTAATAGCTGCTGGTACAACTTGCACTTGTTGTGCTATTTATTGTATTAAATAAATTAAATGACATATTTAAATACATGGTATACTTTTAATTTTATAGTTCCCACCAAATTTGAATATTTGGAATGAAACTTTTATTCGACCAATGAAAGTTGATGGGTTGGTACAACAAAAAAATTATTTAAAAGAAATTTTGATGAAAATATCTCGAAATTCGCTATTTGCTTGTTAAATAATCATCCACGGAACATCAATTTTTGAAAAGTACTTTCTACTCACTTTGGCCTTTAAACACATAGCTACGGTTTCCTCTTTGCCAACTTGATTGATCAAAACCGAGTAGAGTAGTATCTATTCGAACATTACTGCCTTGTTTGTAAACTTTATAGGTGTCACTTGGACACATACGAGAAGCAAGAGGAACTGTAAGAAAAAGTATTATATAGCGAAGCTCGATAACAAAATAATAATTATGTGCATCATTAAACTTACCCCAACTGGCAAACTCCCATTTCATTTCTACGTAAAAATCTGGTGCCTGATAATAAATGAAATACATGAGCAAACGGTATGCACAAATAGTTGTTGGTACTAAGCAATAAATCACATTTAAATCAATTTTTCACCTGTTTAAGTTTAAGAAGAAGTTCTGGAATGCCGGCAGCTCTGTTGCAATACCTTTGATAGTCTCTTCTTGCTAGTACCATTTGTAGTAGTTCTGGATTGCCAGAACCAACAGCCTCTTGTACAACTACATATCAAGTTAAGCAATTGTATGCATAAAATTACCATCATCATTTTAATAACTGAAAGTTACCTGTCCATCCTTGATTTTCCGTGTTAACATTGGCCTCATGTTGAAGTAAAACCAAGGCTGACTCTGTGTAACCCAATGTTACAGCTAGCATAAGAGGTGTTCTGCCTCTGTTATCCAGCTGTTCAATGTCATACTGTAAGTAAATAATAGAATTGTAAATTATAATTAGAATCACTAATAATTGTATTTCTATAAAAAGAAATAAATATATAGATTTTAAAAAAATATTCACAAATTTTAAGTCAAACAACTAAAGTAAAGATGGTACATATCAAACAGGGAACATTTTTGTAAGGCTTCTTTTGAAAACTGTAAGGCTTCATAAAAACTGTTAGCTGCCCTAAGCCTCATATTATATACTCCATTCTTTTGATTAGAAAGAAGCTAAAGATTAATATATGTAAATGCTCAGCACAGAGGATTTCACCTGAATTTTAACGTGCATAAAAAGTGATATTGCCAAGTAAACATTGATTATTAGCAAGGAGCTGATGATTGATGCTCTAGATATGTAAGTTGATAGTAACAATCATACGTCATATGGGCATGCATGCATTTGTGTCTGTATTATTCAACTGTATACAATCTATGCATTAGATGCAGCAACACACAGGTCTGTAAGTAACTGAAGTGTGTACAAAACATTAGAAAAAAATTTTTTTGCGGTTTTAAGAAAAGAGAGAGAAGGGAGTGTACATACAAGTGATTTAGTTTTACCACCACAGACATGCATGACAATCATAAAAGTTCTAGACTCAATGAGGAAACAGTATAAATGATATCAAGTACGCAAAAAAAAAACAAATGAAAACCTCATTGGTGTCGAGGAGTTTGTCAAGCTCTTGGTGATCGTTGTTCCAGACGAGCCAGTGCAGGGGGTAAGTCTGTTTGATTTCGTCGATGGTGACCATCGTCGCCGTCGTCTCGCTTATGTACCGCAGCTATGATGATGCTGCGGCTTCTGCCCTGAGCTAGAAACTTGAGGCGTATATTATACATGCACCCACTATCACAAAACACAAAACGTTGCAATTGTTCGCCAACGTAGTCGTCCTATTTAACAGATATTTAATATTTTGATATCCACCCACGCACAAAACTGCTAAGTACTAGTATGTATGTGAGAGATATTTCTTCTCCTCGTGAATGATAAGAATTTGTGAGGGTATATATTTAATATCGGCCAGATTCACTTGCTGTAAGCTGTATAAGTAAAAAATAGAAGTGCACAGCACATCAGCTCAATCGGCTGATATCGGTTCATATGGGTGGGCCTATAGTGGTGGGCTAGCAGAAAGTATGAAAATACATACGTGTAGAATACTACAGCCTTCTATCATTATTATATATAGGTAATATAATAATGATAAGGCTGAAGAATACGTAATAAGCAGATGCAGCGAGTTCCGTTAAGCGGAATGGGATCGGAATCGGAGCTATTCTGCCGTTGGGAGCGCTCGCCATCACATAAGGGTACAGTCACAGTCTGCAGAGGATCGAGAAACACAGTGCGGCGGATGGTCGCCATTTATGGCACATGTCAGTGGTGAGTGGGGTCAATTTGAAATGGTAAATAACACTTCACATCACACCACTCCACAATGCCATTCTACAATCGTGCTTTCTCTACACTGCGCAAATGCGTAGGGGCAGCGCAATTAATAATTTAGGTAATCTACATCTCATTCGGCTTAGCTCTGAAAGCATACAACCTCAAAAAAAAAAAGGAAAATTTGGTTTTTATCTTAACTATAGGACACGATTGAGCAAAATTATACTTCTATTTCATTCAACATACGTTTTGCTTTATAGAAATATCAATTTCATCGTTTTAATATTGATAAATAATAATCAATTTGATTTGAACGATTTTGCTCCTATACTTCTGCAATAAGATTTGGATTTGTTTACATACATTAGGTCATTTCCACAGGTGGCCACAAGGGCGGCAGCACAGGCGGTTACACATAGTGGATCGGGGATAGAAATAGAACTTCTATAGAAATGCCCTGCAACCTGCAATGACTTAGGAACAGCACTGTATATCTATATGTATACACTGGAAAATAGTGGTAGGTGCTGACACAGGCGGAGCCAATCAGCACCGCGTAACCCTATCCGCCGCACTGTCCCTCGATGGCTCGACCCACGTGGGTACATGAGTACAGTATACTGTAAGTACACAAGAGTTAGTTTAATTCGTTGAGCGGGAAGTATAAAATTTACCAATGAAAGAGGTTATATGATGGGATCAGCCAATGAGAATCTGGGACACCTATCCCCACCACCGGTGTCCGCCATTTTCAGCCAAACAGTCCTGAGTAAGCGGCACACGATTTAAATTTACTTCATTTTCTATTTCACTCGCTTACACAACTAAAACTCTTTTTTTTTCTTTTTTTTTTAATCTTGAGCTAAATACCCTAATTCGTTATTTGAATATATATTTCAGCATATTAATAAAGACTTTGGTTGTGTGAGCATTCAAAAAAGAAAATGAACTTGATTCAAATCGTGGCTCTGTTCGGAAATGATATATTGGTTAAGTATTTTTAGTTGGAACTTTATCTTTCAAATGTCGCCATGAAAAATATTGATAAATGGACTAGAAATTGAAATAATTGCAAAAAAAAGACATAAGATAGCTTATTTTTTCTGCTACGAGAAAGCCAGTGTAGCCGCCACATTGTTTGGTAGGAGCGGACACAATTCAAATTCAAATAATGTTATTCAAGTTAAATGACGGCTTACATTTTCAACTTTATTAACATCATTATATATATTGATATATTGTAAAAACATTTGGGAGATATTCAATGCCTACGAAAATAAAATATTATGCTTGAGTTAACAAGGTCACCTTTATTAAACTCCACAAATTGTCATATTTTAGAATAAATATAACATATATTCATGTTGGTATCTCTACGGACTATTTCAGTTTTTTATCTATCTCAATTTGGGTTGGAACCCCTACACGAGGGGGAGCCTCCTTAAGCCGGGGTAGGGGTAGGTACCAACCAAATACTTAACCAACGTATCATTTCCAAACAGAGCCCGTGTGCCGCGACTCAGGAGTCTCAGAACTGTTTGGCTGAAAATGGAAAACCGCGGTGGTGGGGGTAGGTGTCTAGCCGTGTATTCCAGTAGCGCTCTCCGACAACTTACCGACAACTCAAACATGACGCAAGATATCGTAAGACATAATTAAGTTGTCGGTAAGTTGTCGGAGAGCATTACTGGAACACACCCTAGACCATAGAGATATTGGAGCTGTTCACATAGACATTTTTTGCTTAATTCAATGTGAACGTTCATATTGAAAAGGGGGTTCCATTGTTCCGCTAAACTTAAATTGAGTGAACAAACTGAGCAGACCTATACCTCTTTTTCCATCAGGCAACAAAGCCTATGGTCGCAACTACGTTGACTGACAGAGAACACAGCATAGGTCTGTTCAGTCTGTTCACTCAATTTGAGTTTAGCGAAACAGCGGAACCCCCTTTTCAATATGAACTATGAACGTTCACATTGAATTAAGCAAAAAATGTCTATGTGAACAGCTCCATTATAGACTAGCGGCCTCCCGTCCCCCGTCTCGGCTTCGCCAGAGGCTTAAGGCCTACGCGGTCAAATTAACATAAGGTACACAGTGCACAGTGTTAATTTGACTGCGTAGGCCTTTACTAAATGGATCACTGTACTATGTTGACAAGTAATGTGAAACGTTTTCAGTTAGAAATTTTACATCTATTACAGACACTTCTCAGAAAAAAAATCTTATTGAAAACATATTTGTTCGCAACCCATACAGTTTATTTGGTCAAATAATGAGCTGTAAAAATTAAAAAAAAGATATAATTATGCTGAAATGTACCGTGAGTTTTTTTGCCATAAAATAATCGTTGGCTATAAAGTGATTTGCAATTTCTCTCATATAATTTACGAAAAGGACTATTTTTAAAGCTGTTAAGATTTTAAACTCCCAAAAAATATATATTAAAAAAAAAAATTTTTCTTTTATCCCACAACTTTATTACCAGAGCAACGAAGTCCTGGAGCTTAATCTTTGCATTTTTTGTTGCCACGAAAATACACATACATTTTCTACTTATTTAAAAATCTGCATTTAGATCTTTAAATATTTAAGAGATTACTGTGAGGGTACAATAAAAAGCTGATCTCTTACGTAATGGATTCTTTATTTGTTGATTTTGATAGTGCTGCTTCAATCTCCATAAATGTTCCGCGTCAGTTTCTTGACGCCTAAAATTGTATTCATTAGATACATTTGAAGTTTTCCTTCCAATTCACCCTCCCTACACTCCCTAAGCATGCTTAGGGAGCCTGTACATGGGTTGATGAGTGTATGAATGTCTTAAGACTGGTAAGGGTGCCTGTACATGGAAGATCTGCTGTTTGGCAACTTCCCGTCAAAGCTCTCTGGTCTCATGAGAGTGAGAGAGAGGTTAAATGTGGTCACGTGATGAACCTCTCTCTCTCACTCTCATGAGACCAGAGAGTTTTGACGGAAAGTTGCCAAACAGCAGGTTTTCCATGTACAGGCACTCTAAGCCAAACCTATGGCGGGTGATTCAATTCGAACTGACGTTAACTGAATATTGATATAAATTGTTTTTTTAACAAGATAATAGGCGTCCTGTTCGTAACAAAACTGTGTTACGTGATTGCATTATAATATTGGAAAGATATTTAGCCACGAAAACTAAAAAAAATTTTGCTAACGCTGAGTCGTTAAAAAGAGAGGTTATGTTGACAAAATTATTGTATTAACATGAATTGTAGAAATTTTTCATTGGATGCCTTAAAGACGTTCTAACCTTATAATGTAATTACTTTACATAGTTTTATTATGAATAAAGTGTCTATTTCCTTGTTTAAATCATTTTATATCGGTATTCAGTAAACATCAGTTTGAATTAAATCAACCGCCATAGGTGTGGCTTACAGGCTTAAGACTGTAAGACACCCATGTACAGGCACCCTTATAGTGTCTTATGTATCGATGAAACGCGGGGCTAGCTCGAATCTAGGTTCGGAATCAATGTAGAGAAATTGAGACTGCCAAACTAAAGTAATTTTTTTTACTTAAATAGTGGCCGGATTATAATATTTAATTGTATTAAATATTGTAAATTTATTCAATTATTAATTTTTTTTAGCTACATTAAAATGTTCGTTACTATCTCTAGCCGCTTTTCTCCTACCCCACTCCTTGGAACGTAGAAAAACAGTTCCAAGAACAGACAAAACCATTTTTACAAGTTTAACAATTTTTGATAATTAGGTTATGTCGTTTTATAAAATACGCTACTCTAAACTTAAACTGCTCCAATACACGCACACGTATATTTCGTAAGATCATGAATGTACACTTAAGCCTATATTGTCACTATATTTGTCAGAACGATGAAAAATATTACCAGTAAAGTGACAGTAAGTCTTTGTTGTATTATAGGTACATACAGACTCTATACTACAGAGCAATAGCATCATTGTACGTGCGTATAGACAAATTGTTCCGACAGATATAAAGTGCCTTAAGTGTGTGTTTGTATGCATATACGTATAAGAGAGACAAAACATACATAACTTGGCTCCCTAGCTGGCGCCAACCTCACGCCACGTTTCATATTCCAAAAATTTAATGTTGGTCCGACCATGGCCAAATCATTGGCTCGGAATTTCATGTCTGTGAGCTTCATAAGTTTGAGTGACAAATACCAATATGTGTGAGCAATATATAATAGAAAAAGATACAAAAAACTTTTAAAAGGAGACACTTTGCCTTCTAGCAATTAAGGTAAACGTACCAATTAACGGAACATGTCCCAATTCACGAAACATGAAACTATACATGTTATTATACAACTAATATCACGAAAAAATTATTTTTAAGCAATTAATAGTTAATTTTAATATTTTTAAACTAAAAAGGCTCGATTATTACATTCAATTCAAAGTAAAATAAGTGTCTCTGTATAATGGTTTCATAATAGGGACATCATCAAACATAACCTTACTTATTTAGTTGTCCGTATTATGAAACAAACTTTTAAAATGAAATTCAATTCCATTACAACTAACTAGTTGGCATGAAATGCAATTGTATCAAATGAAAATCGTGTCATTTGAGCAACGTACTCTAAGTAACTTTAAATTAGTACCCACAAATTACTCTATGAAGGAAGTCTCATAATTGGGACATGAATTATGAAACACTGGGACAAGCCTTTTGGTGTTTTTTTCATAATATGGACATATTAGATGTTTCAATTTTATTAGAAAAAAACAGTGGGGTAGGTGTCTAGCCGTGTATTCCAGTAGCGCTCTCCGACAACTTA